AACCCGGCCCTTGCTGCTATCACTTGGCCTGGCAGAAGGGTTACATTAAGTAGACTAGAGGAACGTTGAAGGCCTGGGCCTCAATGTGAATTGTTTTGATTATAAGGCTTAGCAAGGTTTAATTTACGATGTCTTTTTGCTCGATATGAAATACTGCTGTTTGTATTCTCTGTAAAAGACTGTTTGTGTGAATGAGAAATGCATGCATCAGGAAAAGATAAGGTGTGAAGGCCATTGTTAACCAGATGGTCAAGAAAGGAGGAGCGAAGACATTTATCGCCATATTTGGGGTCGGGAAGGAATTTTCCTCCCGGGCAGATTGGCAGAGGCCCTGGAGGTTTTTTGCCTTCCTCTGCAGCGTGGGGCACGGGTCACTTGCTGGAGGATTCTCTGCACCTTGCGGTCTTTAAACCACGAGTTGAGGACTTCAATAACTCAGGCATAGGTTAGGGGTTTGTTACAGGAGTGGGTGGGTGAGATTCCGTGGCCTGCGTTGTGCAGGAGGTCAGACTAGACGATCATAATGGTCCCTTCTGACCTTAAAGTCTATGAATCTATGAGTCTTATCGAGACTTATTGATGCCAGAAAACCATCAACGCGCATCCATGATTGAGGAAGGGCAGATTGACGACCCTGAGGTGGAGGCTGACACCTCTAAGGACAATTGATTAAATCAAATCCGGGACAGGATGACCCTCTTAGAATGTTTACATCAAAAGATAACACCAGTTAAGGAGTAACCAGTCATAAACTGACACAGCAAAATCCATAGACTTCAACAGAGAAAAAAGACTATAAGAACAGGGTGCTTGGCCATGGGACGTTGGGTTCGTCTTGCCACAACTCCAGGAGCATCGGATCGCGACCGACAGAGCCCGGCTCCCCTCTGCGACCAATCTGGCTGGCCACTAGATTGATCCAGACTCTGGACTGGTAACTATAAACATGGACTGGCGGGACTCTCTCTCTGTGTGTGTGTGTGTGTGTGTGTGTGTGTGTGTGTGTGTGTGAAACTGAAAAGCATATGCTAACTGCTGTATTCTCAATAAATGCGGCGTGTTGCCTTCTCCCCTATAAAAGATCTTGTGTGCTTTGTTTAAGCATCACATGGATTGCTGAGGAAGGAAACGTTCCCCCGTAGTTTGTTACCTGCTGTGTTGAGGGAAAGACGGCTGTGCCTCCATTCTTGGGAGATAAACAGGATTGTACCAAAGAAACACCTGACCCAGATCTACAATTTCTCCTGCATGGAAATGATCTGTGAGGCTCTGAACATTGGCTAAACCGCTCCGGTGGAAAAGAGCGACACTGAGACACAGCCAGCATTTTGAAGTGGTTTCAGCATCTTGGCTGTGTGGCTGGAAGTGTATTAATTAGTCACAATAACTTTATAACTAGAGAGACCAGGTAGGGGAGGGAATAGCTTTGATTGGGCCAACTTTTGCTGGTGAAAGAGATGCTTTCGAGCTACACAGAGCGGTTCTTCTGGTCCTGAATAAGAGCTCAGGACAGCTCAAAATCTTGTCTCTTTCGCCATTTCCTCACCTCCCTTGTCTCTCTGATATCCTGAGACCAGCCCAGCTACAACAAGCTGTCAAAAAATATAAGGAGAAGGGTAGCATAAAATCCCTCCTTGGCAGCAGCACTAAATCGCTTTACCTGTAAGGGGTTAAGAAGCTCAAATAACCTAGTTGGCACCTGACCAGAAGGACCAATGAGGAAAGAATATACTTTCAAATCTGGGGGGGGGAGGATTTGTTTGTGGCTTTCTTTGTTGTTCCGGACAGAGGGAAGAGACCAAGCAGGTACAACATCTCCTGCAAATATACCTGGAATAATAGATCTAAAACAACAGAAATTGTAAGTAAGCAAGGAAATGCATTAGGTTATCTTTTGTTTTGGCTTGTGAATTTTCCTATGCTACAGAGGGAGTCTTATTCCTGTTTTTATAACTGTGAAGCTGAGCCTAGAGGGGAATCCTCTGAGTTTTACATCTTTTTATTTACCCTGTAAAGTTACCTTCCAAACTGATTTTGCAGGTGTGATTCTTTTACTTTTTCTTTATCAATAAAGTTCTTCTTTTAAGAACCTGATTGATTTTCAGTGCCCTAAAGACAAAGGGTCTGGTCTATGCTCACATTGCTAAGGCAATTGGTTGGTATATTATTCTCAAGCCATCCCCAGGAAAGGGGGTAAAGAGGCTTGGGGGGTATTTTGGGGGGATAGGGATTCCAAGTGACCCTCCCCTGAAATTTTGTGTAAAACACTTGGTGGTGGCAGCAATACCATCCAAGGACAAGGAAAGGAATTTGTGCCTTGGGGAAGTTTTAACCTAAGCTGGTAAAATATAAGCTTAGGGGGTCTTTCATGCGGGTCCCCACATCTGTACCCTAGAGTTCAGAGTGGAGGGGAGAACCCTGACACAAGCGTTTTTACTAATAATTCCCTTCATGATGTGAGCAATGGACTAGTGCTACTAATGAATAGTATTGGAATGTAATGGATATTCTTGTTAATTATTATAGAAATGTGCTATGCATCAAAATTAATAACTGTAGTTTGATTACTAATAATTAATTTAGTGGTTTGAGCAATGGAATATTAATGAATATTTTTAGAATATAGTGTACATTTTTATTAATTATCATAGCAATTTGTTATCAATTATAATTTTCTTACTAATAATTTAGTAATTTTAATAACGGAATATGAATGAATATCAGAATATAGTGATTACTGTTAATTTACATTATTATAATAATCAGCATATAATTGTTGTTTAATTTCACAATAGATTGTTCTTAGTAATTAATATCATAATTTAGTGATAGATCATTATTAATTATAGCACATTCGCAGTAGATTACTGATATTAATTAACATAATTAGCAATATAAAATTGGTAACAAATTTCACAACAGATTGTTCTTAGTATTTAACATAATTTAGTGATAGATCATTGCTAATTATAGAAATTTAGCAATAGATTACTGTTAAGTTACATGATTATAAAGATAGGTACATAATTTTAGTGAATAATTTAGAAACAAAATATTCATATTAATAAATTATAATTTACTAATAGATCATTGTAATTAATTAATAACATAATATTCATATTCATATACTAGAATTTAGCAATATATCGTCATAATTAATTAGCAACATAATGTTCTTATTAATATACTATAATTTAGCAATAGGTCATTGTTATTAATTAGCATCACAATGTTATGAATTAATATATTATAATTTACTGATAGATAATTGATATTAATAACATCATATTAATTATTACATTATAATTTAGCGATAGAT